CTATTATAATTAAATTATAAGAAAACCGTATTTCTATTACTTTTTAATGTATTAATTCTACCTATCTATATTTTTATTACAACTTTCGGTTTTTCGTCGGTATTTATTACTAATAGGTTCGGAAATAATATAAACGACTAGATATATATTATTTCCTTTATAATAACTAGGAATTTTAATATTATTACTTAAATTAAACTATAATACGACTATCTTTACATTGTAATAGCCGGCATAAAATAAGTATTTCTTTTCAATTAATATATCTTTATAATAATCTTTTTTATATCTTTTAGCCTATTCATTATTATTTAAGCGATATTAAGAGAAGGGGGGGTAATAAAAGTAGGATAATGTTATAAAGTTAGTACTATTAAAGAAAGCTGAAGGGGGTTCGGATTAGGATTTTTTACTATATTAATTCGCCTGGACTGGATAGTATTCTAATTATTATTTGTATTGGAATTGTTTATAGTACGTTATTTTTCCATGTAGAAATTTTATTATGTCGATTATAATTATAAATTTATTTGGACGTTATTTCTCCGTATAAAAATTTTATTATTTAATTACAATTATAAATTTACGTATATAAGGTAATAGAGTATTGATTAGGGGTTTATGGTAAATTATTTTTTATAGGGAAACGAAAGGGAAAGCGCGAATTATAAAAATAAGGAAGAAGAAGGATAGGAAGGGACGACCCGGGGGGGGTTTTATACTTTATATATATAAGTCTATTTCGAAGAGAATAGATACTATAAGATACTAACTAAATTAAACCTTCCCTATAGAAAAATAATATATTTTAATTAAAAATTTATATAAAGTGTTCTAAATATTTAATAAAATTATCTTTATTCTCCTTATAATTTTCTTTTTTTATATTTATTAATTTAAATAGTATAATAGATATTTAATAATTATGATTATTATAATATCCTTAGTTATATAAGGGCGGGATTAATTATATATAAGGAGGGTTCTATAGGGGTAGCCCTATAAATATATAAGTGCTATTATTTACTTTAGGTTCCTACGTAAACCTGTAATTATATATAGTATATTATTTAACGAAAGTAAATTATCTATAGGGAGTATATAAATTATATTAATAAATAAAATAAATATTTCCTATTCCTAAAATTTACCCTCCTTTATTAATTAAAGTAATTTTATCTACGCTTCGGCATTTTCTTTTTATATTCTCGTATTTATAGTTTCCGCTTTTATTCGTTTCGTAAACGTATTTTTAAATTTAATAGCGCGCGCCAATTTTCTATCTCTTTCTTTAGCTTATACTTCTCTTACCCTTTAAACCAATATTTATAGCCGTGGAATAAGCGTTTAAAATAATCGACGTCTAATATATATATTAGATTTTTTAAAAACGTTTTATTAATCTATTCGGAATATATTTAAAATTGACTTTAGAATAGTAATACAAAAAGATATAACCTTTATAAAGGGTTAATAATTATTAAAGGTTTGAAATAATAATATAATTGGGAAATTATTAAATATTAATTCTATTCTATTTTATAAAACAGAAATAAAAGGAGGAGTTAAAGGACGAGGAGGGGTTATTAAATTAAAGAAGATTAGTACCTTTTTAATTACTTTCTCCGTTATAAGCGTATTATCCCTCTTCTATTTATTGATATTAAATTAGCCGCTAATATATCGGATAAATTATTAATTTATTATTAATTTACTATCCGCTCTCGTTATATTATAGTTCAATCGATTTATTAATAAATTAGTTCGATACCCTAATTTGATACTATATTTTATCTAAATCTATTTATATATTATAAAATAGCAATCGAATCTTATATTGTTACTAATAGGTTAATTATAATATATTAATAATAAATTTTAGATATATTAGCGATAAATCTTTACTAATAGTTTATGCGTAAATATAAAGAAGTAACGATATAAACCGATTATTCTAATAATGAAATTATTAATATAGTATTTCGACTATATTAGTATTTACTCGAAATATATCCTATATTTTTTAATTTATATTAGAGTAAGTATAGTCATATTTAATGTAAATTGTTAGGATACTTTTATTTTAAACCTAATTCTGAATTTCTTCCCGCGAATTACCTACAAAATAATTAATTAGGGTTCTATTTAGGGTCTATCTTAGATAGATTTAAAGATAATTATAAATAATTTTTAATTTACGTCTTAAATAGTAGTAAAATTGCATATATTTATTAAGGATTGAATGTATAAATAACCCTTCTATCTATTAGTAAAATTAAAGATTATTCTTCATATACTTTTTAATACTATATTTAAAGTAGATATAATAAAATTATACTATACGGCGAGCGAAGTATATAATTTTACGGGGGTAGGGATCTATTTAAAAAATACATACTAAAAAACTTATATTAATTAATTAGGGAATTAATAAAGATAAATTATAGAAGGATCTTAAAATAAAATAATATACTTATAATTACTTTAAAATTTCAATTTATAGTAATACTATAAAAACCCTCTTTAAATAATTCTTGCTACTTAACTATATATTTATAATCGATTTTAAAAATCTTAAATACCGTTTTAAAAATAAGGGCGTATATTTTTAGTGTATTAGTATTAATAAGGATCCGGATAAAAAGGATAATTATCGGAATTAGAAATCTATTAGGAATAAATTCGGAATAATTTAATAATTTATATCGTTTTAATTATTTTAAATAGAAGCCCTAAATAACCTCCTTATTTTCTATATTGGAAAGATACCTATAATTTATATCTAATTCGAAGGATCTAATAAAGCTTTTACGAAAAAATTCTACTTATTCTTTAAAGAAATAGATAATTATAAAATTAGTCCTATTATTAAGGACCTTCTAAATATACTATTAACAAAAAGTTAATAATTTATCCCTAATAAATCCCAGATATATAAATTTATACAAGTATTTAAATTTTAGTATTTTAATTAATATTCATATATTATAATTTTAAGGTTCGAAGTTCCTAAAGGTTAAGTAAGAGCGCAATACTTTTTAATTACTAATCGAATTTTATTAACATTATTAAAATTTGTATACGTTTAATTAATAATATTAGTACTGTATTTATTAAGGAATTAAATAAAGTAGAAATTATAAATTAAGATTATTAAATTGCGGATTAATTTCTAATTTATCCTTAATCTATTAACGATATATTCCGGATTTATTTATCCTAAATTATATTAGGATTTCCTACCCTTTCTAATACTTATATTAAATTTTTGATAATCTATTTAGGTGTTTTATTAGGAGGGGGGGGTAAATAAGTATATTAATTATAAGAAATTATAATAATATATAGAATGGTTTTAATATCGATTAGAATATAAAATTTAATAATAATATTACAGTTTCGAATTTTAATAGTATTATAGCCTTAAACGTAATTAGTTTCTAATTTATTGATAATAAATTTTCAATAAATCCTAAATATATTAAAGAACGATTTATTTACTATAATACATCTTTCTTATTAGTATAATATTCGTTTTAATATATATTTTAATATATAATAAATTAAGTATAGAGTCGTTTAAATACCCTTTAATATTTATTTTAATATATAATTAATATTAATTAAAGTTATTAGGGAGGTTAGTAAAAAAGTATATTTTCTTTCCTAGTTTCAAATTCTAATATTTTAGTTAATAGTAATTATAGCCGGTAATTATTTAAATAGAAGTAAATCTTAAATATAACGCTAATTTTTAAAGATATATTTTAAATAAAGATTTACTTTATTTATATACTAAACGAATTTATATAACTATTTCGATTCTTTATAATCCTATATTTCCCAATACGTCCTAATTGCCTATACTTAATTAATTATTGAAATAGTATTAGTAGAAGAAAATTATTTTTATTTAAATTAAAACGATATAAAAGATAGTTTAAAAATAAATTAAGGATAAATCTGTATTCAATAGTTCGCTTAATTAAAAGGACTTTATTTTATCGGAGGTAGATTTTAAATAAAGAGTTTATAACCTCTTCGTCGATTATAGTAGTAAACCCTTATCAATACGCTTACTAAACTCGCAAGTCTAAATATTTATAATATTTAATACTAGAGTATTTATAAGTAATATAATAATATATAGTATTATTTAGGTAATTAAACGAAGTATCCTTGGTAAGTATTTTCCTCTTTATATAATACTAGATCTATAATATCGTAAATTAATTAGGGATTAATTTTATATATATTACTGATTTATTTCGGATTACTTTACTTTATATACTTCGTCCTATAGGGTTTTAATTTAAAATTCGGTTAAACCCTTAATATCTATAACGTAGGCTACGCTAGAAATAGAAGACTTAGGGTATTTTAAAATGATTATAATATAATATATTATTTAAATGAAATTAGAGTATTAATTAATATTATCAGATAAAATAAATATTAGGCCTATAGTTTTAACCTTTATATAATTAATATTATTATATTGTTGATTAATAAGAGATATATTTAAAATATATTAATAATTTATTAATTATACTTATTAAAAGGTCAGTTGATATTAATATATTAGGAGGGATTATATTCTTTAACTCTTCTAATTTATTGAATTCGGCCGCTATACTATTTATTTATTCTAAGTTAAATATCGTTAATAATTTAATAAAAACTATATTATTCTATTTAATTAAATTGAATTTAATAGTAATGATTAAAGTATTGGTGTTAATAATATTATTATTGGCTATTTTGTGAAGATAATTTAAGGATATATTAGAAATGATTTACGGGCTGTTTGTATATAACGAGGAGATGTCGGTCGTAGTCAGTTTATAATTATATTTGGATATATAATCGTTAATATTTAAAAAGAGTATTCAAAAATGCGAATAATATTATTTCTCTATAAGGAACTTCGAGTGAGGAATTAATTATTTCTCTACGAGGAAAGAAAATATTAAGGGGGCGAGGGTCGGATAAGAGATTTTTTATAGTGTGGGGTCGGTCTTAGCGTATCCACTTAGGTCAGGAAGCTTTAGTAATGGGGTCGGGTTATGTGAGTACTCCCCACGCTGCGTGTCGGCAATCAAACCGAATGCAGCTCGGTGAAATTCTAACCACTTTCCCCGAACTTCTTATCTTATCATCTTATTTAATCGAAACATACCTACCTCATGAGCGCGGGCACGTGCACCAGCCCGTGATACCCTTTGTCATCACCGTGACAGGACTTCACGTATGACTTCAATCGTTCTCACCGAAACTACACCAAACAAGCAACTCATAAGTTCTGCGATGACAACATTCTTTCATTCTATCATCATATCCGAAACCAAACAACCGTCACCACCTATTCATTCTCATGGTATCAACCCTCAACCCGAACCAAAACCTTTAAACACCGCCCAATGCAACCATCCCCGACCCCGTTTTATCTCTCAAAAATACAATATACACGAACAATCTGATCTGAAGTCTCGATTGTTGACACACCAAAAAAAGAAAAAAAAGTTCCACACCCACCAAGAAAAGTTGAAAACAAACTAAATCAAATCATTAAAACCCCATTTTTATCATCCCACAAATCACTGCACATTCAAAAATAAATCATCCCCCCTCCTCGTCGGCGTCAACTCCGGTACCCAACCGGGAGTGATCGGCGGCGGCGGCAAGTCCACGTACCGCTCGTTGGTGTTGGTGTTTGTGTTACCACCGTACGGGTTTTGAGACGGCATCGCCCTCTGGTTATTATTGTTGCCCCAGTTCTGGGCCTGGCCTTCTTGCCAGTATTGTTGTTGCTGCTGCTGCTGCTGCTGTTGGCGAGCCTGTTGGGGTCCAGTCTGCTGTTGTTGTTGGCCATCTCTAGCCCATCCCTTTGCGGGTCTGCCAATACTCTTGTTAGAGCTGCTGTTGGGATTGGGGTTGAGGGCGAGTGCCGCGGCCTTTTCGGCGCCGAGGCGCTTGGTGAGCAGGGAGGAACTGTTGGTTCTTGTGTGTTGGTGCTGAGACTGATGCTGTGGTTGGGCTGGCTGGGCAAAGATGGGCCATGATTGCTGGGGCATGGGAGGTTGTTGGGGTCCTCTGTATTGGCGCTGCTGCTGCTGCTGCATTTGAGCCTCATAATGCCCTTGGGAAGGACGGAAGTAGGAAGACTGCTGCCGCTGCTGCTGCTGCAGCTGCTGTTGCTGCGCTCGCTGGGCTTGTTGCAACTGGCGTTGCTGTTGCTCCCATTGGCGCGGCGATGGGGCACGGTAATAGTAGGCAGAGCCCTCTCCCTGTCCTTGTGGCTGTTGAGCCTGTTGCTGATTCCAATAGCCATTGGGGCCAGTCGCTACAGAGCTTTGTCTTCTTTGAGGTTGTTGGCGTTGCTGTTGCTCAACCGGCACAGCAATCGGGAAGCGCCCCTCAGGTGACCCAGTTCTCATCTGGCCAGGGTTCTTGTTCCTGTTTGGGTTCACAACGGGAGCGTTCATGGGCCTCGACATCCCGACGGTCAACTGAGGTGTCCCGTGAGGAACCGCACCCATGCGCATTCCCTCGTTATCACGCTCTTCCGGGGTCACGATCCTGATGGGGAAGCGTCCCTGGCCTTGGGCCTGTCCTTGTCCCTGCTGCTTTGACATACGCTTAGAGTTGCGCCTGGGAGGTTCGGGGCCGGCGGAAGCGCCACCGTTGCCCAGAGCCTTTTGAGCATCGCGAAGCTGCTGCAGGCCCTCGTTCACATTCTTTCCCTGCTTGTGAATCTTGGGATACGACACCGGCGACTTTCCGCTAGAAAGAGGGCTCGGCGAGTAAGGCGATTCCGCCACGGGTGAAAGATCTTGGCTATCATCTTCTTCATCTCCCGACTCGATCTCCGTGGCAGAGTCCTGGGACATCCGACGTTGCCGGGTCGTCCTCTTGACCGACTTGCGCTTGGTTTTGGTGCCTGTCAAGTTCCTCCCCGTGTTGTTCTCAGAGGGCACTGACGAAGGGAGAGTGGGCATGGGGTTCTCCGGGCCAGGAACCACAGTCAGAGGAGCGTTGTAATCGGAGTAGACACTTGACGCCACGATGTCCCGAGGATGAGGGTCATCTCTCATGGCAACAGGTGATTCCACAAAGGCACCCTGCTCCCGTTCTCTGGAGGGGACTCTAAGGGGAGCCACGACCATACCGGGGGTGTAGGGCATATACGCCCTTTCGGCCTTCGTCTTGTCCTGCGGGCTTGGCAGCTCGACAGAAGAAGTTGGGTATGGGGGCATCTGGGTCTTCGTTCCCGCGCCTACAGTTGAGTTTCTGAGGATCCAGTTGCCCTTCTTATCAGCAAAGTAGTAGGTGGTTGCCGACTGGGGATCACTTGGCGGTGGACGCCAAATAGCAGTACCCGACCTGCTCTCTCCTTCGCCATCCTCTGCAAACTCGGTAATGACACTATCTCTTCCGGTCAAAGGAGCAGCGCTGGGAGCTGGGGCGGGAGCAGCCCTTGGGACAGCGGCTGGGACAGCAGCGGGCATCGGTGGGTTCTTCGGAATAGCCAAAGTCAAGTTCGGCTTTGGTGGCGTTTCCTTCCTGCCAAGTGGCGTCTGGGTCCGAGAAGCTGGAGTGATTACCATGGCTGGCGGCAAGGCAGGCATGGGCAGAATAGGAGCGGTGCCGGCGGTAGCTCTAGTTACTGTAGGCCTGGGAGAGTTTGACGCCGAAGCGGATCCGGGCAGGATCGCCAAACCAACGCCGTCAGCCCTTGGTGCTTTCGTGGGCCTAAACGTAGGTGTGCCCTGTTCCGAAGGAATCCTCTGAATCGGGTAGCTGATGCCCAGCAAATCAGGACCGGTAATGCTCCTGCGGCCAAAACTCTTGAATGAGTCCCTCATTCTGTTGAATCCCTTCTCCGGATCCCCTGAACCCATTCTCTTCCGGCGTGCACATTTGGCCAAGAGGACAAGCCCTGCACCCAGAGCCACAACCGCGACACAACCTATTGTGATCCCAGCAACCTGAGCGCTGGTGAGTTGCGGTGATTCCTTTTCAGCGGGCGCCCCAGCCGGAGCAGACGTGCCTGATGTGCTTGATGTAACCGGCGCTGTTGTACTGGAAGCAGTGGGCTCCACGCTTGGAACGGAACTCGGACGTGTGCTCAAGGTTGAGGTTTGAGCCGTGCTGGACTCAGTACTGGTCGTGGAGGTAAATCTTGAACTTGATGTTGTTGTCGTCGTCGTGCTCGGCGAAGCTGTAGCAGTGGTGGAGGCCGGAGCCGCGGATTTCGTCACAGTCGAAAGTGCGGCACTGCCAGTGCCTTTCGTCAAAGTCGGAGCAGCAAGGTTCCCTGTCCCCGATGGGAGGATCAGTGTTGCTACAATAACATCGTGAGTCCTCGACGCCGAATCATCAACACCATCACAAATGTTGTACGCCTTTGTCGTTGCTTGAACTGCTAACAGTCAGCCTCCCACACACCTCACACCAAAGTCGGGTATCAAATTTACTCACCACCAGCTGCAGTGTCCTTGCAGTTTCCCAACTCCTTCTCGCCAATCATGCATGCTACTGCTCCCTCTCCTAGGGTGTATCCTCCGCCGCCTGTTTGCTTGCACATGCATCGTAGGGACGGTGACTTTCCTCCGCAGGTGAGATCGAGGTTTGCTGATATCCATGATTGGAAGCATGGCCTTGCACACGTCGGCACGGTTTCTACTATCGATGTCGGTATTTGTGGTTCGGCTGCTTGAGCGACTGTCGAGAGGGTCGTCCATAGTAAGCCCAAGCACAAGAATGGCTTGACGGCCATAGTACTGGGCAACATCTGGAGGTGAGGTTAGTGATGAGATTCGGAAATCGATCATGGAAGACAATGTCCGCGCCCCGATTCCAGCAACATATCGCGGGTTTTGGCTGAAGGTTGAGAAGGTGTTCCTTTCTCGAGCCCAGGTTCCCTCTTCTCTTGGATCCCTCCCTCCCAGTCCACTTCAAGTTGCTATTGACCTGTTATGCCGGCCCAGTGGCGAGATCGATGGTGCCGGATTCAGTATCCAATGACGTGGGAAGCCGAACCAACAGACCCTTCGGGCGGTTGGAATGCAAATCGCATAACAAGATGTACGAAGAGACCAACCTACCGAGCTTAAATGAGATTAAAGATTAGGAGGAGATGACCAGCATCTCCGCGTCGAGTAATGGGACCAAGGAAATTCGAAACTAGGAAAAGGCGTTGGGCCGGGAAGAACGGGTGCCGTATCGTATGTGATGATTATCGAACCGGAAACAAACAATGTGAATGCATGAGGTATATAGTCGTGAAAGATGCAACCGAAGGGCGTGACCTGATGTCGAGAAATGCTGATTATGAAACGGGAAATCGAATGTGATAGGAGAGGAAACACACAGGAAACACACAAGGAAGAGAGATGTGGAAATGATGATATTGAAGGAGGATGAAGATGGTACCTGAGAAAGAAAAGAGAAAACCCGAGAGAGGAAAGTCTTGGATGAGGCTTGTACGCCATGTGTCACACTCGGGGTCCTATTCCTCGACTCACGAGCCATGCCATCATGATGTATACCTCAAAGTCAAAAGCAGTAAAGTCCCGGTGTGCTGCGCTTAACGATACCAGCAATCTCCTCGCCATCCTGGCCGCCGCCAATGACTTTGAAGTCGTACCCATGCCGCCTACCCGCAGAGACGCGCTAGAACTGCCTGAAGATGTGAGTAGTGAGTACCCTGTACCCGATGACTGATGAGTCCCAATCGCCAACTGGGGTCTATTGGACCTCTGGCTATGGCATCATTGCTTGTAGGGCATGAGAGACGTTCCATTGCAGGCATGGCTTCGACGGTGTTCATGTCCCTTGCACAAGGCGGCTGACGAATGGAGCAGTGAGGAGGAACAAGCGATCTGAGAAGAGGCACTTGTCCTGGGTAAAATTCAGGTCCGCCATGCTCCCATTGGTCTCAAAAGACGGAAGATCTATTTCGGGCGCCATGGGATCCGGAATTGCACATGGTAACACCCGCAGATGGATGAATGGCTGTGAAGGCTTGGAGCTGGGAAGATGTGGGCGAGTGAGAGACTGACGCCGGGCACGCGCTTGGTCGGCGCTTAAAAGTAGGCGAGACCCCGGACACGCCCAAGGGTGGTGGGCGCCAACAAGCCAGCGACGCTATTCCCGTTCAGGTACCACCCCAGATTCTCACGAGCCACGACACTCGCCTCAACGATCCAGTGTTCTGTACATACGTACGGCTCACGGCCCGATCACGTGGAGCTTCCCATATAATCGTCCAGTCTTGTCTCAACCGAGATCTCGAGTGTGAGCTTGAGGTTGTCTTCACCCGCCCAAGCCACCATGACTGCATTTTCCCAGCCACATGCTACCACTCTTGAGTCTTGACGAGCAAGCAACTTTACCAACGACTGCGGGACAAAGAGTTACCAAGATACAATAAGTTATCCATGGCTCTCAGCCGCCTCACATCCAGATCCGAGCTCACGGACCGAGTGAATTCAGATAAACACCCTTGTCAAGGGAGATGTGCCGTACACCTTTGTGGGATCACAAAGGCGATGAAGTGCCGAGTCTGCCGTAGTGTTAGTTGGTGTAAAACTACGTACGGTATCCATCGCGGCCACAAAAGTTAGCCACTCCTGGCTTGACGGGATCCGCGCCATCCAGCTGGACTCAGACCATGAAGTCGACTTATGGTACCGAGGGCCATGCTGAGCTTGGGATGTTGTAACTTCCATCGTGAGGTCGGTATGTAACTACATATCACGGCGGTTGAGTCGCAGATATATAACCATCCGTAGCCCCCATTCCACACGAGACACAATGCACCTGAAAATTTGTGATACCCTGGCGCCTACCGGTAGGCATGCTGGTGTACTAACGTCGGGTAGTACCTATCGAACGCTTCTTGGGCGATTTTGCTAACTGCAAAGTAATCTGGCTTTCGCCCATTGTTGGTATCTCTTTGATCTAAACTCCCGATTCTCCATTTTCAATGACAGAATATGCGCATCATGAGTTCACTCCCACATACCCTTTCCGTTTGAATATCTTGATGCCGCAGCAACGATGAAAAAGACTTGATCCCTCGCCTACGCTAGATGATTCAGTTGATAAACTCCTTATGCACTAGCTTACCACCATCCGCTAAACTGCTGCGTCTCCGGCAGCAGCGGCGCCGGTGAGAAGAACGACTTCAATGACTTCAACGACGACGACTCCCCCTTGACACTCATTGATCGGCCAAATCCCTAAGCGGCCGAATCAGTAGCGCTGGGAACGTACTCCGCCTGGGCCCTGCTCGACTTGATAACTTCCTGCACCTTCCTCTCGGTATCATCCAAGTCGTTAGGATTCAGCTGGATAAGGTCGATTCCGTAGAACTGAGCGATCTGGGAGAGCGCTTCGAAGCTCTTGCGGTCGTGAACAAAGCTGATCGAGACACCAACACGACCGAAACGACCGGTACGACCAATACGGTGAAGGTATGTCTCCGCGTCCGGCTCCCTCTCGCCGGGTCCCTTCATCGGAATGTCGTAGTTGATGACCATGGATACACTGGAAACATCAATACCACGTGCCAGAACGTTTGTGGTAATGAGAACCTTGGAACGTCCGGAGCGGAATTCGTCGAGAAGAACATCACGGCTTTGGCCTTCGTAGGCACCGTGAAGGGCCGAAACCTTGTGGCCATCTGCTTCCATGCGTTTCTGGACCTCGTTGGCCGTCTCTCTCGTCTGGAGGAAAGGACATTAGCACAAGCCTGAAACAAAATTGGAGGAAAAACATACCCTGACGAAGATGACGGAAGAACCAATGGTCATGAGACCATAGAGCTTGCAGAGAATGTCGTACTTGTCCTTCTCGGTAGGACAATCCATAAACATCTGCGAAATACCCTTGACCGTAAGCTCCTTATGCTTGAGCTTCATCTGGTTGGCGTTGGGTGCGAAGCGCTCGGCGAATCTCAGAACTTTGTCGGGGAACGTCGCAGAGAAAAGGAGGATCTGAATGGTCTTGGGGAGCATGCTACTCGATGTCAGTAAAGGTTGCATAACACATGTGCCCAAAGATGAACTTACGTCTTGACGCGGACACACTGGTCACCCAGTCCCTGCTGGTCAAGCATGTTGTCGGCCTCGTCAATAACAAGAACCTTCAACTGCGAGGTGTCAAACTGCCTGCGCTTGACAAGGTCCATGACAGTTCCCGGAGTTCCCACGACGACGCTGCCTCTAACACCCGTCTCGCGCGAGATGGCGCCGGGAATGGCGGCCTCGACAATCAAATTCTCGCAGAACTGACCAATGGTCTGAATGACGGTCTGGATCTGGCGGGCAAGCTCTCTGCTTGGAGCAAGCAGAAGGGCTTGAGGCTGGTGGGGCTTGGACAGGTCGATGCGGGAGAGGACGGTAAGGACGAAAGCAGCAGTCTTTCCAGTACCGGATTGAGACTGGGCAATCATGTTGCGGGGAGGGTCGGAGAGCATGAGAGGAAGGCACTTCTCCTGGACCTTGGAAGGCTTCTTGAAGTTGATGGCGAGCAGGCCACGGTTGACAGCCTCGGGGAGACCCAGCTCCTCGAACGAGCTGACGGAGTAGAGAGGGCTTTCGGTGTCATTCTGGAGATCGCTCAACTTAATCTCGACCTCGTACTCGTTCTTTACAAGGTTGCTCTGGCTCTGCTCGATGGAGGTCTCGTTCTCGGCGGCCTTGGGCTCTTCGGACGCAGGGGCAGGGGCAGGCGCGGGCGCAGCCTCGGGAGCGGCAGCCGGAGCCTCGTCGGGCTTGGTGATGCGGCTGGCGAGATCGGCCATTATGACGTCGTATCTGGGAGAGACTGCTGGCAACGATCAAAGTCGCAAGGTCAGTACGATACAATATGTTGTTTGGTCCTCCTGGGATTTCGGTTATCGCAAGGAGCTGAGACGTGGGTGAGTCAAGATTCAAGCTGCGCTTCCTTAGGTCCCGTCTTGGTGCCCCGCGTCCCAACTCAACGCGCCAGACCAAGGCTGCAGGACGAGAAGGCGCAAGCTGGCAAACTTACCTCAGAAGAGGGTTCAACCGTTGGGACAAACAAAATGCTTCTTTCAGACAGATGTCCGAATGGAATGTTGAGCTGTTGGTGACCACAAAGCAACTGCCAGCAGTGGTTTGTGGGCGGGAGAGAATACCTTACGAGAAGAATAGCTGTCGGCAGAAAGAGATTCTGGCAGCAGGGTTGACTGGAGAGGAAGTCGCGACGCCATCAAACCACTTCCCACTGCAGTGATAGTGGGGCATCTGCACCTTCATCCTCTAAGAGTTCCAGTTGGTACCTGCCCTGGAGTGGACGCTGGCAGGATGCCCTGACAGGCCAGAATGGACAAAGCACGAGCCAGCGGCGTGGCTTAGTGGGGTCATGAATCGTCCCTTCTTCATTCTTCATGCAGTTAACGCATACTGCCTAGAACCCGGACCGCACTAGCACCGGCCAAGCCGCAGGTCCGACGGCACAGCTGGGGCCTTCTTGAGTAAGGTAGCCACCAGCACCCCATTCCAGGTTGCCATTCTCATTTTCATTACCCAAGCGCAGTGCCACTGGGCACGGCAT